CCCACTCCCAGATGGAATCTTTCCTTGGGCTCTTTTCTGCTCTCCACGCCCTAGGCCCTGGGCGAGGTCACAGTCACCCTCAGGCCTAGGGCCCCTGTAGTGGAGCACTCCAAACCTGGGTCTCCAGCCCTCTCCTCCCTCCCAAATTTCCAGCCCCACATTTCCAGTCCCACTGTAGAACATTCTGGCCTGGCTGCTGCTCTGTAATTCCACGTGCAGTTTCATCACGGGTAGGTATTTGAAAGTGCTCGGGCTAACCTGTACCTCTGCCACAGGCCCCGCAGGTCCCTTCTCAGTCTGCTTACACTTCTCCCTGACGCCTGCAGCAAATTCATCCTCCAACTTCTCTGCTCTGCCCCCACCCATCTTTCAGCTCCTGGCCTTATCTTTCCACAGAACTGCTGCAGAAGCCTGCTCCCCAGTGGACCCAAGGCCTCCGTTGTCTTTCTGCTACACCTAGATGGGTTCTTGGGTCTCTGTCACTGCCAGAAAAGGACCTAACTGTTCCCAGGCTCAGCCTGGCATTCTCACTATCTGGCTCCAAGATGTATACATTTTAAAAAGGTACCCTTTTCCTTTATTACGTTTTTCCCTAGCTCTGAGAAGCTAGGAAAGCTACAGATCCTTTCCCCAGAAAAACTGCAGGTGAGATCTCCCTATTGCACATGATCTGAGCACCCAGGGCTTGTCACGGTGCAGACTCCCAAGGCCACCCATGGTGCAGTGTATGTATCCACCCCACCCCTGGGCACCCAGTTCTGACCACTCACTCTTTCACATGCTGCCATTTCCCACCTCTGGGCTTTATTCAAGTTTAGGCCAAAGGTCCTTCTTCCAGAAGTTTCTCTCTCTGCATTGGATACTCTGTGCTCCTTCTGTGGCACCTGTCACACATGCACATGTCTAACCTGCCAGGCTGCACTGCTGGCCCCTGGAAGCAGGAGTGTATCTTCCTCCCGGTGACCCCCGAGCCTGCTCCGGCACATGGTCCATAGACAGTACTCGTTTAGTTAACTCAGGTTTAACCCAACTACTGCTGGCCACCGGTCTTCAAGAAGGTGGGAGAGAGGTAGCCCCAGAAAGCTGTCAAAGAAAGGCTTCCTGCAAGCCCAAAATTCTGAAAGGAGAATGAAGGAGAAGGGACTGTGGTTGGCCATCCCCCCGGGGGCCACTCACCCTCTGCCTCCAGTGAGCAGAAGAATATTCCCTATAGCAAACTTAAAAAAAACCTTCAGCCCATTCTCAAATCTCAAACTAGCCAACAATGGGTGGAAAAGAAAGATAACGCACCTTGTTCCACCCACTCCTGATCCTCACGCCCCAAGCCAGCCAAACCACCACCCCCTCTGATCTTTGAAGTCCTTACCCACTGACCACACTACGCCACGACTCCCTTAATGCACAAGGTAGGGGAAGGTTGTAATGGGGCAGAGAGAGCCCTAGGCCTGGGGCGAGTCTGAGCAGGTGAGAGAAGTGAGGTGGGGTGATAAGCCCACCTGATGTGATGCTCGCACGGCATGACGTGAGGGAAAAACACTGCCCAGTGTGGGCAGCCATTCATTGCTAACATGTGGGCCCTGCCGCTGTTTTCCCAGCACTGTGAAGGTGGGGCTGGGGCAGAGCCTGTGGCCCTTCTTCAGAGGGTCAGAGCTGGGGGGAGGCAGTTGCTACCAACCTCCTCTGCACTGGCTTTATGCTGAAGAGCACTGTGGGATGTAACCCACCCACCTTTGGGGAAGCCAGAGTGGTATCCCTTCCCCACGTTACAGGAGAGGTCATTAGGGGGAGAGGCCACAGTTCTTCCATACCACAGGCTTAATAGGTGCCCGCTGAGCCAAGGGTGCTGCTGCTGATGGAATTGATGCTGGTCTGGCCTGAGCAGGGGCAGGGGTCGGCTCTGGGGGGAGCTCCTTTGCTTCGGGAGGTCCCAAAGCAAACCTTGTCAGCTCGCCTTTTCCTTAGAAGCTTCCGGGAAAGGGGGGCTGCAGTGGTGCAAGCCACTTACACAGAAAGGCCTTGGCAAGAGGGCACACGGGTTCTTTCCCTCTCAGAAAGTTCCGAAGCTTCCTGTTGTGTCCCGGGCTTTCCCTGCGGGGCAGGCTGCTTGCTGCCTGGCGGGGAAGTCGGGAAGGGCTATTTAAAGGCCTGATGCTACCAGCTGTGTTCAGCGAGTGCTTCTCAACTCAGAGCCTCATGAAGTCAGTGAAGGGAGGCGGGGAGGAGGAAGGGGCAACTGACAACTGGCTCCCACTCACGTATAGATTTTTCTTAAAGCACTGTTTTCATTTATTTCACTTTTTATCAGGAAAAAAAAAATGGAAAGCTGCCCAGAATACAGCTTGCTAATGGCACTAAATATCTGTCATCTTTTAAAAAAAAATCTTTGACCCGAAGGCCAAGTGTGTGGTTCGCTTTAAAAGTGTTATTGGGGGAGGGGGGTCCTCACCACTTCACTAACTGGCCAAGTGGGGCCTACAGAAGAGAGGCCGGGAGCTAGGCAAGGCCCTCACTGCACTCACACTGGAAAGGGGTTTATTTTTAGACCAAATTAGAGCTCCATAAGCCTTAGGACACAATAGGGTTCTGACCCTCTTCGCTGACCTCAGTCCCTTTGCTCAGGGCTTTATCGAATCACACCCCACAGAGTCCCAGAGCTGGTCTCTTTGAGTCTCACATGGTTAAAACTGGGCCCCAAGAGCTCTGAGGGGAACGGGTACCTGCAAGAGTGAGCACACGCAGCCCGGGGCAGAGCCATGCCAATGCAAACTGTGGACCTCAGCAAGTGGTCAAGTGGCTACCAATGGCTTGTTGGGTACTGAAGGAAAGCTGTGTGATTAAGAAGAGGCCTGGGGGCCATTAGGTGGCATGGTGGTGAAGGTGCTGGACACTCCCACATGGCCAATCATGGTTTGAGTCCCAGGCCTGGTGGCTTGCTTTCTCACTTTCCCTCTCTCTCTGGGCAAATTAAGATAAATGAATGAATAAATAAAATTTAAAAAAAAATAATTCCTTCTTTTTTTTTTTCCTTGAGAGATTTTTGCTATAGGGCGCATATGCTCACCAGAGAGATAGAAGACAAAAAAAATGAGAAATTATCCCCCATGTGGTCATGCCACAATCCCCCTTCTCCATTCTTCTCTTGGGACTTTGGGCGCACATGCACACTTGGCTGGCATGAGTTTTAAGCCACCAGGTCTGGGACTCAAACTGTGGTCAACTATGTGGGAGCCCAGTGACCCAACCATTGTACCATCTGCTGGTCCCCAAGATAAATAATTCTAAAAAAAAAAAAAAAAAGAAGACAGGCCTGGCTCCCAACTTCCAGATTTGCTCCTAATTTTCTGTGAGAGCTTCTGGAGCTCTCGGGCCTTAGTTTTCTCCTCTGCACACTGAAGGCAGTAGCAGGGGCCGGGGGTGGGGGTAGGGTGGAAACCAGACGACTTCTGAGGGCCTTTCCAGCTCTGATCATCTCTAAGTCTACGGCCAAGGAGCTCAGGAATCTTCCCCAGCTTGTTTTTGGCTGGCTGCAGAGCTGCCAGGTCTGAGCCCAGATAGCAGATACAGGGACACCCCGCCTTTGTCTTTCAGATACAATCCACACTAGCCCAAAGCGCTCTCCCAGCAGCCCAGGGCAGGGATGGGCAGAGAGGGGAAGACTGGTCATTGGCGCTCAGCAAACTTTCCTGACTGCCTGTGGTTTGGGGATGGGCTGTGCACACAGTGCTCACACAGGGGCTACAGGGGAAGGGATGGAGGTGAGTGCTAGAGCCCACTAGCTTCTGAGTGCCCGCCTTGGGCCTTGTGTGACAAGCAGCTGAAACCCTGCAGGCTGGTCAGATACACTCAGGCAGCAACCTTTCCCAATGGTGGACTGCCCCAAGTGGGAAATGCTGGGCTGTAAAACACATGCACACGCACATGCACACACACACACAAGCTTTTTGGTTTTTGCAGGGTGTGGGGAGCCAAGGAGTGTTTAATCTTAAAACTTAAAAGAAGTCTCAGAGACAAGGGCTTTGGCAGAAG